TTATTTTGAATTTTTTTCTGTAATTATATTTCAGTAGAAGCTTCGTTCCTGATCCCCTTCCCCCACTTGTTAGACTCCCTTCTAGTCTGCTGCCTTATTGTACACCCAGTCAGAATGGGCCTTTGCGGGCTGTTTTCACAGAGCAGCGCATGCTTCCTGTAGCAGAAGCAACAGTTTGCTTTGCTTTGCTTCTGCAATCGGCTGCTCGTCACTGTGGGGAAAAAACAGTAGCCACAGTTCCACGGCCGCATGTCACAGCTCTAGCACTTGGGGCCGCCTGTCTGCCGCTTGGCGATGGAGCCGAGGTGACTGTTGTAAAGAGCGATTCTGTTGGGGGGGGTGTAGCTGGGTGTGTACGCACAAAAGCATGCTGGCTACTTCGCAATTACAGTTGAATGATGAACTGCGCGTACACTCCCTGAAGGTGCCGGTGATGGAAAATTCCTTTTGTCTTATCTCCTGCGCACTGTTTCTCTGTAAGTACGTTTTTGGTGCACACGTTTTCCCGGGTTTCTGAGGGGTAGCTGTGTTAGTCTGGAACTGCAGATAGTTTCCTGAGTGGGCCTTGGGGGAGAGAAGACTGTAATCTAGTAAGTAGGGATTCGGATTTTATCGCTGGCCTGCTGGGTATTGTTGGGCCAGTCGCATCCCTTCCCCGTGCCTCAGTTTACCCATCTTGACAATGAGGGTGGTGATCCGAACTCCTTTGCTCAAGCTCTTTCAGAACACGAGTGGCCGTGCCGTGTCAAATCGACGGTCCAGCTAGCCCAGTGCCTGGAGCTTTGAGATCCACTGATGAGAAGTGCTATGCAGAAGATGCTTGTTCGCAGCAACAGCTTTTAAGGTACTGATACGTTGCTGCTAACGAGTCTGTTCTGTATAAGAGCTAGTTGGTGGTGTCATTGGTGACGCTAGGTCCCCTCCCAAATAAGGAATTCCTCTAACAAGGGTCTGTTGGGAATTTTTCACAGCTTTTTATTTACTCCCAGGAGATTGACCTGGTGTTGCTCGGGTCCTGAACTCAATTCATTTTTGTTCTTTGGAAAATAAAATAACAATGTGCAGGCTTCACTTCAGCGTTTCTTAAAGTGTGTTCTGCAGCACACCGGTGTGTTCTGTGGCCATCCTTAAAAGGACAAGCCTCTCCGTTGTTGGTTTGTTCTTTTAGTTAACAACTTTTCCCTGGAGAATGGCCTTAAAGGGGCAAGCCTCTTATTGAGCAAAAAAGAAAAAAACTTTTCCCTGGGGACTTTTTTTTCCTCAATTAAAAAAACAACACCTTAGCGTTCCCCATTTTTAAAAAAATGGTTTGATGTTCCTCGGTCTTAAAAAGTTGAAGGAACACTGCTTCACTTGAATCGTTGCTCTGGGGTGTGGATGGGGACGAGGGTTCAGGCTGCCCTGGGGAGAGAGGACAACCCCAGTCCCCTATTACTGCAGCAGTTTGGGGCCAGGTGAGAGGTGTGTGTCCCCCGGCTGGGGCAGGTCCATGTTTATCTGCCCCCTGCGCTCCCCAGCCAGAGTGAGGAATGCAACAAACTGTGCATTTTCCCTTGGCTCCATGAAGAAAGGGAACAGCGGGCATCACCCTAGTATAAATCAGGGGCTGGGGATTTCCATCCCTTTAGAGAGGGCTGGGGGTCTGGAGGCCGGGAGCGGGGGGCACCCCCAACCAGTCCTTTTCACCTGTCTGGTGATTGTCTCTTTTCTGTTTGGTTTTCTGAGACGCAACCCCATTCCAGGCACATCCCATTTTCCTGGGACAACCAAACCCTGACCCTGCCTTACGTTAGAATAAGAGGAAGCTGCATACTGAATTTGGTGATCCTAGCTCTTAACATTTTCGGAGGAAACTCGTACAAGCAAACGGATGGACAGAGAGACTCCAATATATAATAGATAATACGCTCTAAAAAAGGTGCAATAGAAACCTTTTTCCACGTACTGGTATGAGCAGCAGTCCTGTCTAGTGGTTAGCGAAGGAGCAGACATCAGATCTGCTGGGTTCTAATCTCAACTCTGCCACTGATTCACTGTGTGAACAGGAATTCCTACATACGTCTTACTTTCCCCATTGATAAATACGAGGACATTCTCAAACCATGCAACGGAGTGGGGAGGAATAATGTTGATAAGGAATTTTGAGCGCAGCCTGTGAAAGGCAGCATCTATTTAAAGTGTAAGCATCAGGAATCCTTGGCTACTGGTATTAAGAAACAGAGCGCAAAAAGTCGTGCTGAGATCATCGATGGTGCTTTTTTAAATGCGAACATGGAAACGCCTAATTATAGATGCGTGCGCTTGTAGTGGACGCAGCTGCATCTCGCAGACCCGCTGTCAGCTCAGCTGTTTGGGGGCGTGTCCTGAGAGCGGGGGAGCGGAGACTCGTCCCTGGCATTCCCCTTGCATGTCTGAGTGGCGGTGATGTACTGTCTAGAGATGGGTGTCAGGTCTAGGAAGCCGTGGATTTGTTACAGTATCGTTTTTGGAAACTCGGGGACAACCCACGCGGTCCAGTCATCAGCAATGACAAGCCCCGTCTGTCAGTGGTCGGGAAAGATCTGGCTGCTCCGTGCCAGCCTTTGTTGTTTTTTTCCTCTCCTGCTGACAGACACACTCTATCCGATTGCATTGTACTGGCAGAGAAGTGTCCGTTGGCACGATTTCATGCCAGGCTTTATCCAGATCTCGAGGCGGAATCCTGGACAAAGCTACCCTGACTCTTGCTGTTGTGTAGTGGGTTGGCCGCAAGAAACCAGCTGCGTGGGTGTTTTTCACACAAGTCCGCCTGTCTCTTGCATCTGCTGATGTGAACATTGTTTGCTGCTTTCTCTCTGGCGTTATTTTTGTCCTTCGGCTCATCAGCCCAAATGTGTTTTTATGTAGCCTAGATGCTCTTCTTTCTTAGGTTACTCTGTATTACTCAGAATCGCTTCCTCTCTGGGAACACCATTGCGACAATTTCCTTTCATGCCTGATCTGTCCTTTATAGTGCCTGTCGCTCTGAAAGGCTCATTTCTCCCACCTCTGGGGCGGAACAGTGTCAGTTGTTTAACAGCACTTGGTGTGAGGGAGGCTGTGTGGAACAGGAAGCGTAGAATGCTGCATTCAGCTGAAATTCCAGCAGGCGTTCAGGCAGGTAGGATGTAATTTGAGTGGGAATTTGGCCAGGAAGCTATATTTTAACATCTCTATTTTATGAGGGAGAGGGCATCAGCATCAGCACAGGATCTCACATGGTCAAGATTTCTGCTTCTTGTCTCCTCCAAAAGAAGGGAAATCGGCTTGATGTTGGCAGCCGATCTGGTTTTTGAGAGGATATATGTTAGCCCACACGGCACCTTCTAAGCTGCAAATGTCACAAAAAGCAATTCCTCCCTGCCTTCTGACAGTTTCTAGGCCATTGGCAGGAAGTGAGTTTTTCCCCTTCTGCCTTAAAGTGAGGTGCCTTTAAATGCTTCCTTCAAAAATGAAACCTCTCTCCTCTCATCTTATTTTTTAGTTTGGAACTGGAAACTCCTCTAGTTCCCAGCATGCCCCATGCACCGCTGCTGGTACGCTTTCAAAAAGCAGCGTGGGTGGAGAAGAGAGAGCAGTAGTAATTACTGGCATAAAAATATGTGGTGGTGTTGTCTGTAACTAGGGTCCAGAAAAACACTTGTGCATTTGGTGAAAAAACATCCTTCATGTTGATGCAGATTTCAGAGCATCTGTACAGATGGGAGGGTGAGCTTGTATAGCTAGAGATAAGGAAATTGCAAATTAATAGGGAATGTTTCAGAGTTTGGTAAAATGATAGTTTCACTCGTGCATAAAACAATGTCCGGGGAAAGGAAAAGAGTTTCTCTTTGTGAGGAAGAATGGCCTTGTAGCTAAAAAATCAGAATTCAGTTCCCAGTTTTGCCACAGACTCTCTGTTGGGCCTTGGGCTGGTCACTTGATCTCTGTACCTGAACTGCCCAGCTTGTAAAATGAGGCGTAATCCCACCTCTCTAAGTAGCAAGATCTCTGAGGGTGAGTCTAGACTACATGCCTCTGGCGACAGAGGCATGTAGATTAGGCTACCCAACATAGTAAAATGAAGCGGCGATTTAAATAATCGCCGCTTCATTTAAATTTACATGGCTGCCGCGCTGAGCCGACAAACAGCTGATCAGCTGTTTGTCGGCTCAGCGCGGCAGCCATGTAAATTTAAATGAAGCGGCGATTATTTAAATCGGCGCTTCATTTTACTATGTT